TGCAGCCAACGGCATGGTTGTAATGGGTGAACACAGTGAAACTGTTAGAAACACTGAAAGTGCTAGAATAATTTGAAATATCATATGATTTTGTTATTACTGTATCGTGTCCTTCTTTCTGATCCCTATTCTAAAACATCACTCAGCAATCAACTTTTCCATCTGCTCTCTCTTTTGTAGTGGGTCTTGTTGGGAATGGTGGACCAGTGCCTCCTTCTACCATGAATCACAGAACTAGACACTAGACGTGTCACAGGGAAGCCCTGCCTTCTAAGTAGTACCTGGTCCCCTCCCAGGCTCACCTCTTGTGTTTAGCAGATACACTCCCTCCCTCTTATTCTAAGAGTATCGGGCACCCCCAGAGGCTCTTCTTACAGGTTTTTTCACAGCCACATACCCTTGGTAGCTCTACTTGGTTCTAAAGAGCTCTGGCTCCATGCCATGCTCTGCCCCCGCTCCGCCCCCACTCTAGCCAGCGTGCCTCAGACCAGGAGGAAAAATTAGTTCAAAGGCATTAGATCAACCTGCAGGCCCCAGGCTTGATCTGGGCTGTTCTGAGGTAATGACCCTACCTCACCTGCAGCCACAGCCGCCCTGGCAGTCAGGTGTGGCATTCTGTGCATCCTTAGCATTCTCACGTGCCTCTGCTGGTGTAACACACATATGCCTGACGCACAATCACACAGGAAGCACTCAGACTCTGCTGATAGAGCTCCACTGGAGACAAAGGGCACTGACAGATGTTAGCATTTTCCACACCACCAACGGCCAAGTCTTCAAAGTGATCCTGTCCAACTTCGTTACTATTTCATTTAAAGGGCCTCCTTTCTTTAAAGTTTATAATGAGATGTTATTTCTGCTCATGATTACAGGGGGAAGGAACACTCTCCCCGCCCTCTCCTCTCTCACGCGCTATTTTCTGTGGTAAAATTGCCAAATCTATGCTTGAGATCCAAGGTTGTCCCAGTTCGCATGCTTGGGAGCTGCTCCTTGTTTCCTCTTCAGAGAAGCATTCAAATCTGTTTCCTGACATTGGGTTGCCATCCCCAAGGTCACTGACCAGTGATGCTGTCTGCCCACGACGTGCATGGAACTGTTGTAGGCACTAGAGATCAGTAAGCCCTTACGTTTTGGTAGGAACTGGCCTGGAAGAGGGCATGACACAGCATCCCACTTCCCGCTTGACGGCTGTTTGTGGTTAACAACTGCCCGGAGCTACGTGCAGCCTCCTTAGCCTGCCTCCCCTCAGCACAGTTGCAATGCCCTCCTTTAGTCACTCTCATCTTCCTTTGCTTCTCTAATTCTTGTTTAGGGCCCCATTCACATTCCTACTTCTCCACGAAGTTCTCCTTGATCCCTCCAAACTTGAGTCCCTTGAGTTTCTCTGGAGCATCCTAGGACATGGAGCTCTCGCTACCTCATATTGCAATTATTTATATTCATGTATCTCCCCTACCCAGAGCCATAAGCTCCAAGGAGGGCAGGATTTCAACTGTATAACTCTCTCGATGCCTTATATATGAGAGATTTTTTATATACTGAACGAATGCATGCTAATAAATCAGTCCTTTAAGTAGCTTATCATTCACTGAATGAGTTAGAATAAATCTGGCAAGAGTAGTAACATCATATATTATTTTCAAAGCACTTTTATTTCTTTCTGAGAAGTAGCAACACAGAGGCAACTTTCTACCTTTCAGCCTGACATTAGATGTTGAACAGAGTAAAATAAGTTAGGTGGGACACATGAGGCACATCAACTCTCAATGATGAGATTGCTCACCATAAAACACCAAGGGTAGAAGGCACCTTGCATTTAGTTCATCCATCCTCTTTATAATCCAAAAAGAGAAACTGAGGCATCGGGGCACACACAGCTAATACATAA